AAAAATTACTCCCTATAAAGTACTCCCCCATATGTTCCTCCGACTCCACCCAAAATCTAATTAGTGCACCGCAGGCCAAAATAAAGCTTAAATTTAAAATTTGGTGTTTTTCTTTGTATCTGTTCATGAGTTATACTGAATAAAATGGATATCCTTCATGAGGAAGTAAAAAAAGTACTTCCATGGTAAAGCTAAGTCCACATGAACGAGAATTTGTGGAAAAAATTGTCTATTTTTCTTTTCAACGAAATTTTCGCAATTTTTCAATGAAATTTATTTTATCTATCTCTATGAGTAGAGATGGGCGAAATGAACTGCATGGCAAAATAACAAAGTCGCGTCCATAACAACTTTAATAATGGTATTTAGAATTAACATGTAGTTCTGAATTTATTGATAAACAATTAGTTTACATACACATTTCGTTTCTGTACAATCCTTTAAAATCTGGTACAATTTTGTCCTGGGATCTGTACAATTTTTTGAAGGCCTCTGGCAACACTGATCGCAGTGTAAGATAAGTTCGTTTAATCTTATAATTATACACTGCGCTCCCTTCTTTAAATGATAAGTAAACGTAATTGTTTAAAGACAGTTGCGACCACAATAAACCACACAATTTTCAATAAATCTTTATTGAAACTTTTACAACTGTAACAAAAACAAACGAAAGTTTAACTACAAAAACCTAAATAAGAATGGTCTCAGCAAAAGAACTGGGATCCTGCCTTATAGGCCGATTATAAAACTTAACGAAACACGAAGATTCACTAGACCAACCTGCTGTAGACCTTATAATATCTAAGTTCAGTCCTTTATTTAACGCTGCTAACGTCGCAGCATGTCTTCTACTGTGAGCATGAAAGATGTTCGTATCAACCCCGCATTTTTTTAGTGTTCGCCTTACCCAGCGACTAAACGGAGACTGAATTAAAAGGTTTTCTATAGGATATAAAAAGGTTTTTTACCGATTCTACTCTAACGATCTTAGTTCGCTCTATGTATGAGTCTAATGTTCTCCCAAGGCAAATATTAGGATCCTGATCAAAGAACGGAAAAGTTAAACATGGTTGTAGTCTGTTTCTACCCGATGACTTAATCTTATCAGGAATCTCTATTGAGAAGTCATCTGGAGTTCTACAAATATTCTCCAATCTAATAAGGCTAAAGGTTTGCAGTAACTAAAGCCAATAGTGTTACTAATTTTTCTGATAATTCCATTAGAAGAAGTTCATGATTGGGACACCAATCTCTGAAGGTAGTCAATACCATTAATGGGTTCCAAGTTGAGTCGTACCTTGGTAGAGAAGGTCTTAGGAGGTTACTAACGCCTTTAAAAAAGGGCACAAATTAAATGATCATTATTTAAATTTTATGGCAAGTACACTTTTCCATTATTTTATTTCAGTTGGTCAGTAAGATAATAAATGGTCAGGGAAAATAATAAATGGTCAGTATAATATTAAATGGTCGGTGAAAATATTAAATGGTCAGTATAATAATAAATGGTCGGTAAAAATAAAAAATGGTCAGTAAAAATAATAAATGGTCAGTAAAAATAATAAATGGTCAGTAAAAATAATAAATGGTCAGTATAATATTAAATGGTCGGTGAAAATAATAAATGGTCAGTATAATAATACGCGTTTTATTTGTACATCGGTCTCCTTTTGACAGAGTAGGTGAGCTGTGTCCAGGCCGTTGGTGTTTATGCCGGTCGGCGTAGCCAGGTATGGATTAAAATTTTTTGGTGGCGGTGAAGCCGCCACCCTACGAGAAGTCTTTGCTTTGTCTTCTTGTTGTCACGGCATTAATATTATTTGTTCATGTATGTGAAATTTGCTTCTATGGTTTATAAAATACTACTGCTAGTAAATGAAAACAAACAAGACGCATTCACACAAACATACCCACCACCTCAATTACAAATCATTAGTGTTGTCTCCGATACGCGAGTGTATTTTGGGGCAATTGATTTTTGAAATATATCCTGACAGGCAGACTTAATTGTTTTAAACAGAAAACAAAATCTTCAGTTTCTTCTTTGCTGCAAACCGGTAGCTCAAAAACATGAAACACTCGATCTAAAAACATAATACTACTTATTTAATGCACATTTTTAAAATTATTACCGACTGGTGCATACTGGCCATTTATTAATTTTTACTGACCATTTGTAGAATTATTACCGGCTAATTCATACTGACATTTCATTAATTTTTACTGACCATTATAGTTACAAAAGTGAACATAGAAATACAGGCCAAATAATAATTTTACTGCTCCAAAATTCATTGTTTACTCATCATATTTTATAAAAGTACTGAGTCTTTTACAATATTTTACTGACTGCTTGTAATATTTATACTGTACATAATCAATTATATACTGTTCAGTTAATTACAACCCTTCAAAAAATCTTTTGACCATAAAGTCCACAGCAATGTCCGGTGTCAAAATCAAAGAAAGTGCTAATCTGTAGTTATTTAATGACCCGTATGTTGATCCCTCCTGGAACCGTTCTTGTAAAAATTTTAAAACCTTAAAAATATCATCCGTGAAAGGACTTGTTTCCTCTGACATACAAAACTTCGACCAAAGTTTTACCCCAACGGATATAGTTTTGAGGTAAAGGTTAAAATGGATAACAGCATAATCTCAATAATATTGGAGTCCAGGCTATTTAGGTTGAACGCATGTTGGATAAAATTCCTGCCACCAGGGAAAGGTTTCTTGCCAAGGGGTGTGGAGACATGTCAACAGATAGTAAAAGTAAAGGACCAGAGTCGAATTTAAACAGTTCTGAACTTAAAACACTCATAAACAAGGGCCACAAAGGTTGGGTAGTCCAAAAAGGCACTACTACTAACCCTGAGGCATTATCATTTATAATTTTTTGTATTACTGGTAGGACCAAATAAAAAGGCGGAAAACTGTAAAAGTTATTATAATTTGACCAATTTAAGGTGAATGCATCAATGGCTAAGGCATAAGGGTCTTTCTTCCATGAGACATACCTCGTACATCTAACTGTTATTTGAATCGCCTCATTATTTAATTCCTACTCAGTCTCTGGATACCTCATAGATTCAAAGTCTGCTTCGAAATTATCTGTTGAACTTATATAAGAAGCAAATATGTAAATACCCGAGCTTCACACCACTGCCATATTGTTCCTGCTAAAGTGTTGAGCGTATGCCCCCCCTTTTTGCTTATATATGATATAGCCGTGGTGTTATCAATTCTGAGAAGGACATTACAATATTTCTCTTCGTTAACAAAACATCTTAAAGCAAAATAGTAGCCCTCAACTCTAAAAAATTTATATGGTGTGATTTTTTATCATCAGTCCAGCTGCCCGAAACTCTTTGGTTCTTATATACTGCCCCCCAACCCGATAATGACGCATCAGAAAATATTTCAAAAGCAAAAGAAGATCCAGTGATGTATTCAAAGCTTGTTGGGATGTTTTGAATCCACCATTTAATATCTAACTTAACACACTCAGGTATAATCATTATAGCCTCATAATCATTTAATCTTTTTAATGTTGCAGATCTAATTTTTTCTAGGATTTTAATGTAAACCCAACCATATCGGATTGCTGCACATGCAGCTACCAGAACACCTATTAATCTAGAAAATTCTCTAGTTGAACAGGAAGGAATAAATCTCTAGGAAAGAATTGGGCAAACGTAAAATCTTTAACCTCTTTTCTTCTGTAAGAGTCATTAGTGTCGAATTAAAGTTAAACCCTAAGAAATTGCAGCTAGTTGCAACTCCATGTTAATTATAAAACCTAATATTGTTAAAAGAAATGAAGTCTCTTTAATATTTTGTTTGCAATGTTCAAAAGAGTTTCCCAACAATATAAAATCATCTAGGTATACTACAGATAGCAACCCTTTAGTTCTAAGAATGGATATCACAGGCTTCATAACTTTTGTAAAAACTAGTGGAGTAGTGCATAATCCAAATGGGAGACAACAAAATTCATATAAAATATCATTGAAAAAGCATCTAAAATACTTTCTGCTTCAGATTTTGATATTAACTGAAAAATAAGCTTCTTTTAAGTCCAAAGTTGCCATAAAACAACCTTTGGTAACTAATTTTGCTACTGTACTTTTATTAATCCAAGACCTTATAAATGGATCCTTTGAAATATTTTTCCAGAATCTGTAATATTTACTTAGATTTCCTGCTAGAACACTTACTTTCACTTGAGAAGTCGAGCTCTGTTGTATGAATGACTCTGTTTGGGTTGATGTTTCTGGGGTCTTTTCCAAGCTTTCTGTTGATGTCCCCCTGGGCGTGAGTACTTCTGTTATCCGGGGGAACTCCGTGAGTACTTTTGTTGTCCGGAAGGACTCTTGAAGTTTAAAGTCTTGTGCAATACCTTTGACTTAAACCTCAGCTTAAAATCTTCATCTGAACGCTTCATAGCTTTTGCTGATTTAATTCCCAAATAGCCATTCATCTAATTTAGCCTCCCCTTCTTTAAGGTCACTTTTAAATTCTAATGTAAGAAGATTTCTTCTTGTTTCCGAGTTTTGCCAATGCGTATCACATGAGACGGGCTGCATCGCGTAGCAGTATCCCTTCAACATCTTCCTCTCATCCAAGAATTAAGTTAAGTGCTTTACCAAGTGAAGACAGGCTAGACCCTAACTGGATCTGAAAAGATTTTAATTTATCATCTCTTTTAATAGCTGTATTAGAAGCTGCTGCCTTAGCCTCTATTTGCGGCCGAATCTTATACGGATATCACATATTTACCTTTGAAATTTTGAGATATCGTGATATTTTTTTGTAAAGTTCAATGCCGCAAACCGAATATTCGTAGCTCAAACGGATGCCCACATATTTGAATTAAAAGTTGATTGGTTTCCGTTATAAAAATCATCCAAATTCTAGCAAAAAATTCGTAATGCCACTTTGATTTCACAACTGTGTCCGATTTTTTTTATTTTAAATCAACTGTTGTTTTTTGATTTCAGCGGGAAAGGATGAAGATACGCTGGTTGGATTTTTTAATCACCTAAAACTAGAAACAGTCCTCGTCAGCCATGCTCATCAAAGAATACCGCATTCCTCTACCCCTCACCGTAGAGGAGTACAGGATAGCACAACTGTACATGATAGCCGTAAGTGTAATTTTTAATCCACCTATCACTGCAACAATATAATTTACGCGGTTTACTGGACTATTAAAAAAATCATAGTCTAGTAAATCAGTAAAATTTTTGTTGGGTATACGCAGTATACGCAGAAGAAAGACTAGGAACTTCCGTAACACAGTTTATTTGACAAGCTATATATAAAAATTAAATTGACAACTTCAATATTCTAGTAGACTAGTAAATGCATAAAGGTAAGTAGTTAAGATGATAACTCTCATGAACTCTAACAATTTTCCATTTAATTCAGACATTTTAATATCTTATTGTTTGTTTACGCAAAATGCGACAAGCATAATCATTTTACAACAAATATTTTTAACTTTTTAATACTTATTTTATGTAAATCAATGTAATTTTATAATATTTACAATCTATTTAATGATATCTCCAGACTATTAAACAATTTGGAACCAGTCTTTTCTGAAAAGAATCTAAATGGATTTTTACATAATTCGCCAACATATTACATTTTTTTATCTAAAATATATTTATGTATTTGTTTTTGTATGTAGTTGCAATCAAAGATTCTTATTTTTCATTGTAATAAAAGTTTTAACGAAATTCCTTTGATGACTATAGTCCGGTAAACGTGTGTTATAATTTTGAAGCGGTTAAAATTGGAATATTCTTTTGTTTTATAGAAAAAAAGTCGCGAGGAGAGCAGCGGTGCTGGTAGCGGTGTTGAAATTATAATAAACGAACCCTACACCCATGGGCCTGGCGGACAAGGACAATACACGAGGAAAATCTACCACGTTGGAAGCCATTTACCAGGTAATTTTTTTTTACTTTAGAATCCCGAATTTTAATAGAAACAAATATTTTATAGGTTGGATAAAAGGTATTCTTCCAAAAACGGCCCTTATGGTAGAAGAAGAAGCCTGGAACGCTTATCCTTATACAAAAACTAGATATACATGCCCGTTCGTAGAAAAATTCTACTTAGAAATAGAGACATACTATTATCCTGATAATGGACATCAAGATAATGTTTTCAAACTCACCGGCAGTGACTTGAGGAATAGAATTGTCGGTAAGTTATAAAAAAGAAATATAATCTAACGATTTGTTTTTGTATTATATCTCAAGGACTCTATTAAAGACAGTTCTTCATATATAGTTAAAATTCATACAAATAATCTTAATTTTAGACGTCATAGATGTCGTCAAAGATCAATTATTCGGTGCCGATTACGTGAAAGAAGAAGACCCGACGATATACGTGTCAGAGAAATCCGGTAGAGGGCCCTTAACCACGAATTGGTTAGAAGAGTACTGGGACGCCGTCAAGGGTAAACAACAACCGTTACCTAATGGAAAGGCTCTGATGTGTGCTTACAAGCTGTGCAAAGTGGAGTTCAGATATTGGGGCATGCAGACCAAAATCGAAAGATTCATCCATGATACAGGTAATGTTCTAAATTTAAAACGCTTGATGAAAAATAAAGTTTCTTTAAAATTTTCGACATTGACTGAACTATAATTAAATTAATATAGTTCAGAGAATGATAACTTTTTTATATTATACTTTTTGTAATCGTTGACTGGACTATAACGTGATACACTTTTTTTCTCGTCGTTCTAACGATTGAACATATATAGGAAAATGGATCTTCTTATTTCATGTAATTTGCTATAAAAATGTATTTTCCGCGAAAATATTTGTTGATAAACCTCAAATTCATGTTCAAGGATCCAAAAAAAGGTATAGTAAATGACATATCGAGTATAAAATCGTCAACAAAATATTTCAAATAAATGTATTGCAATATTTATTTAACCAAATCTTTAAATGAAAGTCACCAACAAAATATCCAGAATAAATCAAATTAATTGCAATATTTGTTGAATTAAATCTTTAAATAATATAATATAAAGTTTATTCAAAATATTGTCACGAGCTACTTTATTTAGTAACTCTACGTGCTAACCTGACTCGGGGAAATAAAAGAGCAGAACAATTAACAATTTATTAAAGCTAAAATAATATACTCACAAAGTTACAATAATATAAAAAGGGCCTTACCAAGAGCTGAACATCTAAAGGCGACGAGGGCATGTCGCGTCACTTCTTCTAATGAGATGCGAGATGATGATAATAATACATAATAATACTCTCCCTAATTCACCCCCCTTACGAGTGAATTTCAACCCCTGAAGTCGACTGAACGACTTGTGTAGGGGAAGGGACGGCTATTATTATTATTATTTGCCGTGGCGCTCCGGGGCGACTTAAAGATGATTGATGGTGCCATTTGACTTACAGGTGAGGAAAACCTCACCCACCATCATAATATTGTCACGAGGTCGTGTTTTTTGTACCAGTTTCGTTTTGAAAGAAAATAACAAAATATAAGAAAATATATAATTTATTGATCTCAACCACACCTCATTTATTTTAACAATATTTTAAATGACTTGGTACACTTACCACATTTCTCAAGTTATGGGGCACGTCACAATCTTCCCCAAAAAGGCACAATGGAAAACTTTTTTAATTTATAAGGATCTTAAATTATTACTTTTTTAATTTTAGAGGATTTTTAATTATTTCAAAAAAGATGGCTTAGTGGAGTCTCTTTTTGAGTCCACCTTTTCCGCTGTTGAGTCTACCACTAACTTCCTTGTTTAATTTTAATATCTAATTTTTTGAATATTGCCGATCTGCAAAATTATACGTAGTTTAATCAAACTTAAATTATGTGGTTGATGACCTGATATTATTCTAATTAAGCAATATAATTTCCTTATTATTTCCTACCTATATTAGCAAGTCGGCAGTATTTTGTAATCGGTTTTAAATTTGTTTAATTATCTATGTTTTGACTTTAATAAAAAATGCTGAATAAAAAATAAAATGAATTTGTTTAATTTACTTTAAAAAACACTAAGAAAAATTATTATTAATATTTTTTGGAATTTGTGACAATATGATGAGACTCAAACTAAGAGTCTAGGGTGAGACTCCGACCAAGAGTCTTGGATGAGACTCCGACCAAGAGTGCCATTATTGTTGACCTAACCGATTTTTATATTAATCGACTAAGGTCAATACGTGTCTAGTTTAATGTTAATTTACATTTTCGAGAATGTAGTTATGAATTACATCTAATGTTTATTAAAATATTATATAAAATATTATGCAGAATTATTTAATTTAACGAATGTATATTAAAATGGAAAATGTATATTTTATGTATAGGGTGATATTTGTTTAGCGTGACAATATTAATATAATACAATAAGTATAATAGATATATGACAAAATGACAAATACAGGGTGTCTGTAAAAGGTCTTTACAAAAACATACCACATATTCCTTAGACCAAAATAAGTCGATTTAAGTAAAATTACCTTAGTACAAAGTTGCTTCGTTTGGGCTCCAGAGGGCATTGAAGTTACAATTTTTAAATCGTTTTTCCCATATAAATTTAAAACGGCATATGCGATTTTGCTGAAATTTGGTATATTGGTAGAGTTTTATGTGGCAAAAAAATGGTATTAAAATTTTGTCCGATAATAATACATAGGTGTAGAACTTGATTTTTTAAATAATTGCGCCTTTAAAAATTCTACGCCAATGGAAGAAAAGGAGTTTGAGTATGAAATTTAGATTGCGCAACTCATTTACTTTAAAAAAGGTACTCTTGATAAGACTCGATTACTCTCATGGTTTTGACGAAATTTGCATTTTAGTAATTTTAGAACATAAACAATAATTATTAAAATACAAACTTTGTCAAAACCATGAGAGTAAATCGAGTGTTATCAAGGGTACTTTTTTGTAGTACATGAGTACCCAATCCAAATTTCATACTCAAACCCCTTTTCTGCCATTGGCGTAGAATTTTTAAAGGTGCAATTACTTAAAAAATCAAGTTCTACGCCTATGTATTATTATCGGACAAAATTTTATACGATGATAAACATAAAAATGTACTTTTTTCATATCTTCTTCAACACCTCTAATCGAGACTTTTAACAAAAATACTCGATTCTTGCCATGTACGATTTTTTGAGGAATATTAATTATTTGCCTGCAATACGTATACAAAAACATTTATTGTTGGTTTCCATAGTTTCATCTAAATAAAAATATTGTCAAGTTTTAACACCTAATCTCTTGTTAACGATTGAAAGTGTTCTATCTGACTCAATAACTAAAAAAACAAATGCGTGGTTTATTAATATGGCTGTACAATATACCAATGCAGAATATACCGATATGTTACTGACATTAGGACTTTGTGAAGGAAATGCTCGAGAGAGTGTCAGGGTGTACTCTGAAAGGTTTCCAAATCGTCGTGTACCTAGCCACCCAACTTTTGCTGCTGTTGAGAGACGTCTTCGGGAGACCGGTTCCTTTGCTCCCAACACTCTTGATAATGGAAGAGAACGTTTTGTAAGGATTCCAGAAGTTGAAGAAGACATTTTAGAACGTGTTGAAGAAGATCCAGAATTAAGCACCAGACAAATTGGAAGGGAACTAGGAGTAATTAAAGATGTTCATAAAGTGCTTAGAGAACAATTGCTATATCCATACCATAAGAAGCCAGTACAAGAATTATTAGTCCATGATCCTCAAATTCGTTTGGGTTTTTGTCGATTTGTTAATATGCAAAGAGAAAGAGATCCAAACTTTGTCAAGAAGGTTCTCTTTACCGATGAAGCGGGTTTTACAAGAAGAGGTATAACTAATACCCATAATGAACATGTTTATGCCATTGAAAATCCGCATGCAATAAAGGTAAATCATTTTCAGCACGAATTCAAAATTAATGTGTGGGCTGGAATAATTGGTAATTTCATTGTTGGTCCTGTCATACTTCCACGAAGATTAACTGGAGAAAATTATTTGGATTTTCTACAAAATACGTTGCCAGAATTGTTAGAAGATTTACCTCTCCAACTTCGGAGAGATATGTGGTTTATGCAAGATGGAGCTCCACCACATTTTTCTTTAAACGTTAGAAACCACTTGAGTGAACAATATCCACACAAATGGATAGGCAGGGGTAATGACGCACCCAATCTTAGAGGTGATGAAGAAGTTATGGAAAGGATACATTTTAATTTTCTTCGACTTATAAATCTTTACACGGAAAAAAATATGACTAGAAAATTTTACTACAATGTTGTAGTAGTAGACTTGTAGAAAAATACTTAACAATTTGTAGAAAATTTTACTACAATTTATAGTTAAAAACTATTAATTATTGTAGCAATTGAATTGTCGAATAAAATGCTACAACAATAGGAAAGAAGTCCACAATGTTTAGTATATTTTACTATTGTTTGTAGAAGTAGAAATTTATTACAATTATCGTAATTACTACTACTAACTTCTTTAAAAATTTGTACAAATATTAATAATTATCTCTACAAAAAATAGTAATACTTTACATACCTTCTTCAAAAATATTCTATAATATTGTGGAAATTCTAAGTCATGTGAACAAAACAGAATTCTGCTATTGGCCAACGTTTTCTGACGTCGATCATAAACGGCCAGACAGCAGTAGCCGTTCGCCATGTTTACATAACAAAGCATGGTACATATACGAGTACCTATAACACATTATTATATTATAAGCACCGATGCGTTTGAGAAAATTTTAATAATAAATTCTATTGGTGGTAAGTACATTTATTATTGTTTCTGAATAATTTACCTTTAGATAACTAATTTAAATAACCTTAGTAGATTATTTTAAAAAAATAGTTGTGGCCAACGATCGAATGTTGTGCCCAACGATCGAATTTTGTGCCAAGTTCAATGTTGTTTTTTGTCTTAATTGTGACATACCTACTTTCTCATTTTTGTTAGTTATCTGACTTAGTCATTTAATATCCAAATCAGTGTAAAGGTGATAAATATCCCCGTTTTAAGGGTATGAACAGTTCAATTGGTATTAATTTTTATTTCATATTTTTCAGGTTCAGAAAAGCCAACTGAGACTGAGGGCGCTATTATTATTGTTATTTATTACATAATGTAATTAAGAATTTGTATCTTTTATATTAAAACAATAAATTGAATATTTTATTAAGGAACATTTTTTTCTAGGTTATAATTATAATAATTATGGAATACTACTACAAATTTTATTAAAAATTACTACAATTTGTATGAATTTTTACTATTTATTGTGTAAAATTTTCGTATTTATTTTCATAAAACGCAATACATTTTTAATATAAATTCATACAATGAACAGCAAAAATTATAACAATTTGTATAACAATTCTTATGATGCATTTGGATATTTTTACTAAATATTGTAGATAATAACTCTACAATACATTCTCCACAAATATTTGGAAATTTTTACTACAAATTGTCCCTGTCCCTATATGTACTATTTATTGTAGAGAAAAAATCTACAATTGTTCTACAATTTGTTCTAT